AAATAATACTAAAGAGAGAAGATACAAATGCCTTAAACAGATGAGAAGGCAAATGGGAGGTGTGTTTAAATCCTAAACATTAGGCCTTCTTTTATAGGGGAAAAATCCCCCCAAAATTCAAGAGCCCATCGATGTGGGACAAATTTGCCAAACTTCAACAAAAACAACTTACCCAACATAAAATATGATGGGTGGTAGAACATAAATAAAGAAGAGCTGCTCATCAAATTCTAAGAGTAGAGAGATCTTTCCATTAGTAGTTAACAAAATGATGCCTCCAATACATAAACCCTGCCACCAAAACGACCAAAGGTCATCCATTGCAACAAAAGCCAAAAGCATAGTTCACAACAAAAATGTTGTGAAGAAAATTCCCAATAAATATCATGATTCATGCATGCATATGTATCTGCACAGACTAAAGTTGCAGTCTAATGGTTACAACTTTACTCTGCACCACTTAGGTGTAGAGCTTAAATCTTACAAGGGCATTCCCTCTTCTAGGTCGAGGATGAGGCAATATTATGCATGTATATGTGTGATGTGTGTGCACAGACAAATGATGCAGCCTAATGGTTATAATTTTAACTCTGCACCGCTTAGGTGCAGAGTTCAAATTTTACTAAGGGCATTCCCTCTTGTAGCTCGTACAAGAGGTAATATTATGCAAATAAGTCCGCATGGACTAAAATTGTAGTTCAGTAGTTACAACATTACTCTGTGACACTTAGGTGCAGAGTTCAAATACTACTAATTGCATTCCCTCTTCTAGCTCGTACAAGAAGTAAGCCCTTTATATTTGTGCATACATGCAACATACACTCAGTAAAGAAAAAAAGACTCACGATAGCAAGAGCAATGACGGACTCGTTAATCCAACGGTTCTCTTCAAGAAGATGTCCAATCACAATGCATCCACAAAGAAGAGCCACAAACAGAGTTATGGAATCCACAAAGACTTGATCATCATCTGACAACATGCTTACCCCCAATTTGGCCACAACATCCAACCCCATAACTACAACTAGCCACAAAGCAACTTTGTCAGTACTTTAACTACTCCCTCTGTTCCAGTTTATGTAAACTTATTTCCTTTTTGGTCCGTTCAAAAAAAAATGACCTCTTTCTAGAAGTTTTTATAACCACACAAATACTCTGAGCCCTTTTTTGATTTGTTTAGAACCACAAATTCCAAAAGTCTTCATTAGGGAGTATATAATAAGTGAGAGTTTTAGTGCGACGAGGGGTATTTTCGAAATTTCGACTGAATCCAGCTATACCGCACGTATATTACCATTGAGTACCATAAACCGGTAACCCTACTCACTTTGGACTTATCATTTCTTCTCCCCCCATCTCTCTGTGTCATTCAGAACCTCCATTTTTCTGAATTTACAACTTACATATTGGTTATTCTGAGGTACTTTTTGTTGTTCGTTTGATATGTATGTTGATTTCTTTCTGCAGCTTTTTTCTCGGGTTAAGATTTGTATGTTTTTGGTCAAAATTTGTTAGCTGCCATAGATCTGAAGATCAAGCTTGAGGAGGAAGACATGCAGAGGAAACCCACACTTGAGAGAAACAGAGCTCTGTATTAGAAGAAGAACAAAATAATACAAGCGTGTGTTTCACTACAGGGTGTACAATATATTTATACAGCTACAGTATAACTAATTTCTACTTACTGTACTAACTAACTGACTGACTATAGTTATACAATTAACTTATCAGCTTGGTTAACTAAATCTTGTCAACACTCCCCCTCAAGCTAATGGTTTATATACATTTTTCACTCATAATTGATTCAACAGCTGTTCATGTTGAAACTTCCCCAAACTCTTTGTAAGTATATCTGCTAGTTGATCTTTCGTATGCACATACGGTGTCTTCAGCAATCCTTCACAAATTTTTTCTCTAACAAAATGACAATCAATGTCAATATGTTTAGTTCTTTCATGTAAGATAGGGTTAGTTGTTATTTGTATAGCAGCCTTGCTGTCACATATCAGGCTTATAAGCTATTGAATCTTCACTCCAAGTTCCTTGAATAGCCCTATCATCCAGGTGACCTCTATTGCACATGAGGCCATACTTCTGAACTCTGCATCAGCTGAACTTCTGGACACAGTCATTTGCTTCTTTGACTTCCAATACACCAATGCATTTCCAAACTTAACCAAGTATCCAGTTACTGATTTCCTTGACTCTATACAAGATGCCCAATCAGAATCACAATAGGCAATCAGCTTGTCTGCATTTTCTACAGGCATAAGTAGCCCCTGGCCTGGTGCTTGTTTGATGTCTTATGCCCCTGGCCTGGTGCTTGTTTGATATATTTGACTATCTTGAGAGCACCTTCCATATATGACATCTTGGGACAATGCATATACTGGCTTAGGACCTGCACTACAAAGGCAATGTCTGGCCTGGTCATGGTGAGGTATAACAACCTTCCAACAAGTCTGTGATAACAGCTAGGTTCTTTAAGCTTCTGATCACCTTCTTGACTTGTACTCTGAATGCACTTATCATATTCTACAGATGTGAGCTTTCGATTCAACTCCAATTGTGTACCAGAGGACTTTGCTCCACCTAAACATGTTTCAGAAATCAATTCAAGTGCATACTTTCTTTGGCACATAAGAATTCCTTCCTTTGATCTGGCAAATTCAGTTCCAAGGAAATATTTTAGCTTCCCTAAGTCCTTTATCTTGAACTTCTTCTGCAACTCTGTCCTGGTATCATGCAATGACTTATCATTGTTCCTTGTGATCAGCAAGTCATCCATATACACAAGAATAATAATTGTGTCACCATTTGCTTCTCTGATGAACAATGAATAGTCATAATGACTCTGCTTGAATTCCATCTGCAAAAGTACCTCTGTTAGCTTCATAATTGTAACTAACAGAATGTTCAGAATTAATTATTGGAGGAATACCAATATTAATAAATTTTAAAATATATCAAGGAGATAAAAATATTACACTAGGGATAAAATGGTTAGAAAAAGTCAAACCATATAAATTAGAAGATAGGCAATTAACAATAAGTTATGAAAACAAAAAGATAATAATCAGAAGAACCTTAATATAATGCCAAAAATATATATACTTGCCAAGATAATAGTAGAAGGATATTATAATAGATATTATACACCTATGATGGATACAGGAGCAGAAGCTAACATGTGTAAACATAATTGTCTACCAGAAAATAAATGGAAAAAGCTAGGAACTCCCCTAGTAGTAACAGANAGAATTTAAAATACATATACAGGAATTATTAGACAATAAGTACATACAAGAAAGTAATAGTAAATATACTAGCCCGACATTTATAGTGAATAAACATAGTGAACAAAAACGAGGAAAAAGTCGAATGGTTGTAGATTATAGAAATTTAAATGCAAAAACGAAAACATATAATTATCCGATACCAAATAAAATACTAATTATACAAATACAAGGATATAACTATTTTAGTAAATTTGACTGTAAATCAGGATTTTACCATTTAAAACTAGAAGACGAATCTAAAATGTTAACAGCATTTATAGTACCACAAGGATTTTACGAATGGAACGTATTACCTTTTGGATATAAAAATGCACCAGGTAGGTATCAACATTTTATGGATAATTACTTCAACCAATTAGAAAATTGTATAATATATATAGATGATATATTGCTATATTCTAGAACAGAGAACGAACATATAAAACTACTAGAAAAATTCATACACATTGTAGAAATATCAGGAATTAGTTTAAGTAAAAAGAAAGCAGAAGTAATGAAAAATCAAATAGAATTCTTAGGTATACAAATAGATAAAAATGGAATAAAAATGCAAACTCATATAGTACAAAAAATAATTAACTTAAACGAAACACTTGATACGAAAAAGAAGTTAAAATCATTTTTAGGATTAGTTAACCAAGTAAGGGAATATATCCCTAAATTAGCAGAAAACTTAAAACCATTACAGAAGAAATTAAAAAAGGATGTAGAATACCATTTTGACGAAAAAGATAAATGCATATAAAGAAGATCAAAAATATGTGTAAAACATTACCAAAACTATATTTTCCAAGATGAAAAAAGACAGTTCACATACATAGTAGAAACTGATTCTAGTGACCACAACTACGGAGGAGTTCTAAAATATAAATATGATAATGAAAAGATTGAACACCATTGTAGATATTATTCAGGATCATACACGAAACCACAATTAAAATGGAAGATAAATAGGAAAGAACTATTTGGATTATATAAATGTTTATTAGCATTTGAGCCATATATTGTTTATAACAAGTTTATTGTAAGAACAGATAATACACAAGTAAAATGGTGGATAAAACGGAAAATACAAGATTCAGTAACTACGAAGGAAATAAGAAGGCTTGTATTAAATATACAAAATTTTACATTTACAATTGAAGTAATAAGGACTGACAAAAATGTTATTGCAGACTACCTATCAAGACAAAGGTACCCAAACTGATAAAAGCCAAGAAACAAAAGATTTATTTACAATCCTTACTACTCTATCTTTACAGATGGATGGTATGGGAAAAAGATTACAACAGCTAGAGAAAAATCAGCCAAGTCAGCAGCATGACTATAAAGATGCGGAGCTAAGTCGATCGGAAGACTCAAAACTTCCAGAGTTAGAAGGAGACGTTGGGAAACTCCAAAAAACCCATAACAAAGTTTGTTTATATACAGCTGCAGGTACAAGTAAACAAGTTAACAAGAAACCACATACCAATGTCAATTTAAATAACATATTTGATAAACCGATTACTCCGAAAAGGCCAAAAGAAACAATAGTTACGACACCACAAACCTCAACCTATGCCAACAACCTACACCAAAATAAAAAAATATACAACCATATTACCCAGACCTATATTGAAAATATATACAAAATCCAAACATGATAATCTCTATGATAACTTATCATTTTTTTAATAAGTTATACTGAACAAACTTAGCCAATTTAGTAAAAATATGTTACAATTACGGATTACTTAGCACGGTATATACCTATGATGGAGAAGAGATAAGTTGAATACCAGAACTATATAAAGCATTTATTACATTTAAAAGAATTACAAAAGGAAACCTATTTTTTATAAAATTCTATACAGCACCAGCTGAGATACTATACGATGAAATAAAACCTATTATACAGGTTGTAAAAATAGGATTGACACGAGATATGATAATACCAGAAGAAATAGAACAACAACCAGAAATACCAAAAATCGAGATACCAGGTTTTTACGCCAACAAAAGAATAATTGGAATAGCAACTATTATCCAAGAACTAGCCAACAATTATTTACAAGAAAATGCTATTTGGAGCTACTACTCAAAAGATCAACTAATGATATATGTGAATTCAAGAGAACTACGACAAGGAGATATGGATGAAGTCCAAAAATGGATTTTATCATTACTAAAACCAGAGATACAACCAACTACAAGAGCACTAAAGAAAGGATTTATTTCCAATGAATTATTGACAAGATACTGCAAATTAGTAGGGCACAAATACCCAGATCATATATGTTCGAAATGCAACGGAGAAGATAATCATGTACCAGAAGTACAACTGGAATGAAGATATCAGCCTAAAAGACAAAGGAGGAAGACAGCTATTGCAAACAGACAATGTAAAAAGTCGTAAAGTTAAATAGTACGAGTCATATTCATGAACAGTAAAGGTCATTCATGAAGAGTCGTTTATGAATAGTAAGAGTCATTTAAGTATGTAAAAAGTCGTAAAGTAAATAGTACGAGTCATATTCATGAACAGTAAAGGTCGTTCATGAAGAGTCGTTTGTAAACAGTAAGAGTCGTTTAAAGCTTCTATATATAGTTTGTAAATCCGAGGAAGAGAGGACACACCCTCACCTTCTCTCTCTTATCTTCTCTCTCTTATAAGAAATATTTGAGTTATATACAAGTCTCTTTAACAACTATGGAACATTCAAACAAGTTACAAGATCAGGTAAGTTTATTCATAATCATGTCTAACTAAACTTTTATATTCCTTATAATCTCTTGAATATCATAACTGTTTATCATGTTATAGTACTGTTATAAAGAACATCTTGAGAATGTTTGCCATGTCTAATAATGCTGAGAGTAGTTACAATGATGAAAAACTCTATGATAAACAAAGAGGTTAGAGGGAATATATTTAGTAAACACATGATAAGAATAAAGAAAAATAACAATCTTATGAGCAACCACACATATCTGCTAGATAACAATAATGATTACAAAATACTCATATTATATACTTTTAACCAATTTAATAACGATATTAGAAGAAAAATCTACGATATTTTGGTTACTTTTGAAATAATAAACATAATGGAACAATGATATACTGATCTAATTCTATCAGAGGAAATAGACAAATTAGATTTATATGAACTAAATTTATATTCAGATTAATGATCAACTACGAATATCTCCAGTACTGGTTACGAACTTTAGAAAATATAAATTTATTAGAAAAATTATGAAAAAAAAAATGTAGAAGAATATCAAAAAACCCAAGATATCCAATACTTAGAATACACGGGAGAAAATATAAAAAAAATTACAAGGTTAATTCCGCTAGCCGCAAAATATTATGAAAAAACCTTTAGCCTATAAAAAACAAAGGGACCTATACAAAAATGGTATCAAAGCTAACAAAAGTGAGATAAATACTAAACATTTACTCAAATAAGTAAAACCATGGACGATAACACTAAAACTAATAGTACAAAACCGCAACAAATACCCATAAACAATGGGTCAATTACAGAAATTAGGCACATTAAAATAAATAAAAAGTTAAGGAAAGTAAGAAAAAAACTAAAGAAACTATACCCAGAATATGAATATTTAAGGATTACTAAAATAACCGATGCTAGACTATCTAAATTAATAGATACTATATCCAAAATGGAATATAAATATATTTACTATCTTAAAAATAAAAGATGAATAAAGAAGAATTCGCACTAGAAGAAAAAACATATGAAAATCCAGAAGGATTAAAAATAAAAATAATATTTTCTAACTTAGGAAGGAGATACAAGAAAATAGGAAATAACCTAAACCTAATGTTGGAAAAAGAAACGGTAAAACTAGAAGATAGTTTGACTGCAATGGTTAGAATAACAAAAGAAAACGAAGAAATTGATAGAAAACGAGAAATTAAAGAAATACAACAGCAAGCTAAAGAAAAAATACAAGAGATAGAGGAAGTAAAGAACACTAAAATAACAGAATTAGAAAAAGAATTAGAAATGCTAAAACAGCTATATACAAATAAACTAAAAGAAAAAGAAAAACGTAAAGAAGAAGAACAAGAGTTAAGACTGACAAATAAAATAGAAAAATTTAAATTACAGTTAGAAGAGGTACAGGATAATCCACCGAATATAAGCATAAACGAAATAAATGACCAAAGTGATAACGACAAAGATCTAGGAGAAGACTATTCAGAAACAAGTGAGACATACACGAAACTTATAGAAAAAATAGAAAAAATAAAAATAAATCCAAAAATAAATACAGGAGATATGACCGAGGATAAACCAAGCACATCAGGAATAAAAAATCCAAGGCAACTAAACCCAACCTATTACAGAGTAAGTTATGATTCATATGATAGGAACAAAACATTATGGGATAAAAGGCTAAATAGGAAATGGACGCCAATTGTTACAACAGAATGTAATTGTTACAATTATGGAAAGCTAGGACATTTAGCTAAAGATTGCAAACTAACAAAAAACCCAAAGAAGAAACAAATTACCGAAATAATAATAGACAATGATAAATATACACAAATGGAATATATAGATTATGAATTAGGAAAGTA